AATAATCAGTTGCATTTTAAACATGTTGAGTTATCAGGGCTTGCAAGATATCTTATTGCGAGATAAATGTGGAAGTAAGATAGAACAGAAACACCAGGCATCGCCAAATTTATTCTGGAGGCTAAAATCGCCCCTCGTTGAGAATATATGATGTAAGCATGTCTTAGCAGTTCTTAAAACTTGTCAGAAGACTTCACAAAAAATCAAACCACTAAAGATATCCCTTTTTCCTCTACAAAGAGGTTTCTTTTTCCCTTAATGGCAGTCTTGCATCACAAAACTAAACTTGTGGCCCTGTCCCTAGTCCCCAACCCACAAATTCTTAGATCAGACTGAAAGATAATGTATAATTCTAATTGTTTATGAACAGTTTTATCCATATATTTTATACAGAATCACGATCTATCAAGAGCTTTCACAATTTCATAAGCTCTCTTTAGCAACCTAATAGATGGGGTTCTTAAGCCCCCTTGTGGCAAAACGCAGTAACAAAAATTATATGGGGGTGGGGGGGGGCGAGGATGGGAGGTGGGGTTAAAAAATGTTGGAGCACAGTTAATACAAGTAACTCCTTCCATGTAAAAGGTTTGCATTTCCATCAAAGGAGGATGGGGACAGAATCTGGAGAATAATTACTACCAGTGTGAGACATTATAAAATTAGATAAAGCAATTTTTTAAATTAGTTGGTTACTGCATATTTTAAAATCAGATTACAGGAGGAACAAGACTACTCTAAGAAAAAAGAAAAGAATGTTCAGGAAAATAACTTGGTATAATTTTTAAAAAGTAGAATCAGTAAAACCAGGTACTTATTTTTATTCTAACTTTATAGCCATAAACAAATTGTGGAGCTAGAAGAGATTTTGGACTTCATTTAATCCAAACTTTAAGGAGGAAAACACTGCCGAGAAAGGTTTAATAAAACCATAGCCAGTTAGTAAACCATGCATATTCTCTAAGTTCCACTCCAACTTAGTTTATGATCTAAATTAAATGTTTACATGTAGAAATTAAATCATGAAGAAACAACTTAAGAAAAATGGCCACCTATATTTTAAAAATCAAACAGGTTGATGTTAGTTGACAGTTACCCATCCGCAGAAAAAAGATTGCGCAACATTCCCCTCTCTGAGACTTCCCTCAAAGCTGCTGACAAGGGACAATTTTCAGAGATCTATTGTTCACTTTCTCACCTTCCTCCTACTAGCTCTCTAGGGAAGTGGCTCCAGTGAGTAATAGGCCAAAAGCCTTGTCTAATGGATAGGGCTGAAGGAGTAAATGACACCAGTGTGTGCCTGAATCAAAGAAAGATTGGTCTGGTTTTCTCATTCTCTTTATGTTTACATTTGCTGCATTCATGCAAAAGTTAAACTGGCTTCTTGACCACCAAAGGACCCTAGTGACTTAATCTATGATGTTAATCTTATCTGTCTATCCCGTTAGGATAAGTCTCCATATTTCCAAGGGGCCCTTTTCAAATGCTTGAGAACCCTTTGAAAGCCAGCTTCATCATCCTCTTCTGGAAGGGATCACTGCCCCTGATTTAATTTGCAAAATTTGAAATAAATGTGGTACGTAAGCTGTGTCAGGGAGAAAGAGAGGAAAGTTCTACAGAGAAGGGTGAAGCCCATAGGGACGGTGCTACAGGTTGGGTTCCTCAGGAAACAGACCCTAAGATAGACATGAGTCTGAGAGAAGTTTATCAGGGCGTGCTTTAAGGATCCGCACCTGCAAAAGAAGGGTTTGAGCAGACAGAGAAAGGCCTCAGCTGACCCTGCAGGAAACTCTGAGACTGGGATTATCTACCTATAGATGCTCCTTTCCTGAGGCGAGGGTATTCTCATGTGAATCAGTCACTGGATACAGGTTACCTAGGGGAGGTCTGTGACATTGACAAGACAAAAGCATGTCCCAAGAGAATGGAGAGCTTAGGGCTATCATTTGGCAGCATCCCTAACAGACACAGGAAATAGAAGAAATGAATGCTTCTGTTCTGAAGGGAAGATCTGGGCAGTGCACCTTAGCCTCCCTTAGGTATAGACAAACCTAAGTGACATAGTCTCCCACTCTAACCTCACTGTCTCCTGAGCCTGATGGTAGAAGACAGAGGGGTAGAGAGAGCCAAGGCATAGAAATAGGTCTGTGAGTGTCTAGGAGGCCAAAACTCTGCCTTGCTTATCCTTACATCCCTACAGTGCCCAGGGCATGGAGGAATTGGAGTCAGGCCTAAATTCAAATCCTGACTCCACCCTTTGGATAAGTTAATTGGATTCTAACATCAGTTTCCTCTGACATGTACTTCTAGGCATGTCCTCCCTCATGTCTGTTTCTGCTTAAACCTCAGGCCACGGTGGTTAATATTAATTCGATATTTAAGTGTGTTATTTTTTTCTCTCCTGTTTTATGTTTATATTTGTTTTATATTTTCTCTCTTGTTCTATATTTGTTAAATTTGTTTTATATTTTAGATTTGGTCTGTTTGCTTTGCGTGTCTATTAACTTGAATCACAAGAAATTGCCAATATTAGAACAATTTTTATTGGCAATTCCAATGTAAAAATGTCAGTTGCATACGGTTCTACCAAATATGCCTCACCAACTACACTGTAAGTTTCTTGAGGGAAAATCCTGTGTCTTCACTACCTCGCAGTTGAGCATATGCTTTATTTGTATAGCGCTTTACTGCACATTCCTTCCCCATCAAGATTATCCCACTCAGAGTGAAATAGGGCCTTTTCAGTATTGCAGATGAGAACACTGAAGCTCACAGAGAATAAGTGACTTGCCCAAAGTCACACAATCATGTGGTATGACTGGCAGACCTGAGCATTTGCCTCCAGACACCAAATCAAGTATTTGCTCCTCAAAAAGATACAGCCTTGGCAGCCGGATCCCGCGTCCCATGGCGACCGTGCACAGCCCTGCTGCACAGCTGGCCTTCGCGGAGGCGTTGCCGGCGTGGTTGCAGCGCAGCCAGCAGTTCCCCAGCAAGGTGTCCTGGAGGCCCTCATGGCCGGCGCTGCTGGCAGGGCTGCCTGGGCCCACGGAGCTAGCCTGCACGCCGTGCGGCCTTCTGCTGGCCTTTGCGCTGCAGCCGTAGGCGCCCCTGTCCCGAAGAGCCGACGCCTTCCATCGCCGCCGGTTCCTCCCTTGCTGCCAGGTGCTGTCGTGTCGAGGCCGTCTGCCCGTTTTTAGACACCAGCTACCTAGGAAAAAAAGACTTTTACTCAAATGAGCCACCTTCTGAGGATCCTCCCTGCCCGGGGCAGGAAAATCTGTGTGTCTCTAGCTCAAGTCTGGCACTCATTTCCGTAGTGTCTGTGGCTGTTTAGGCCCCAGAACATGTTCTAGATGTCACAGGGCACATTACTGCGATAATGAGCATCAGACTCTAGACTGGAGATTGGGACGTAAGGAGGCCTATACAAAGTCAGAATTTGAAATAGAAGGTGAGATTATGCCTGAAGCTGTGGGAAAAGAAGATGAATCAGAGATTACAGGAAGCATAGGTGAAGAATCTGAGGAAGAATTGCATTCCAAGGCAAAACATGAATCCAGGAAAGATAAACTTTTCCAGAAGTTTAAAACCAAAATAGCCCTGGAACCAGAACAAACTCTTAGATAGGGCAGAAAGATTGCCCTCAGTTCTGCCTCTGGTGAAAATATCCCTCAAAAAATTATGTTCCAGACTGCCTTTGTGGTGCCAAGAGAATATTTGAATTATAGGTGATGCCTCAGCTGGTCAACTACCTCAAGGTTAACAGACTGGGCAGGAGTGTCGACTGGGGCGCTCTGGCAGTCTTCACCTGTGCTGAAAGCTATAGACTGGGAACTGGCTACACAGAGGAACTTGTTTGGAAGTAAGATAAAACCAATATACCTTAAAGTCAACGTTGTAAAGCCTTAAAAATGCTCATAGTCTCCAAATCTTACAATTCTATTTTTAGGACTTTCACCTAAGGAAATGATTATACCAGAGATAGGGGTACAAAGGTGTTTTAGACATTGTTTATAATGTCAAATATTAGTAAAACGCAAATGTCTGGTGACAGAAAATTACATAAATTTGGTGTATCTATACAGTGGAAGGCTACGTAGTTTTAATGATATAGATCTACATGCACACCAAATAAAATATAGATCTAAATTGACACCAAGATACTGTTATAGATGGTATTTATAGTATGATATTTTTTGTAAAAATAAATGTACATGTGTATTTGCACAGAAATGAATCTGGAAAGATAAAAAAAAAAAGGGGGATACAGCATTTCTTACGTTGGTTTAGAAAGTGCTAACAAAGACATTATCCCATTCGACTTAAATAAAGATCTGGTAAGATTTCCAGGGCTGGTACTATTATACACATTTGATAAATGGAGACTGTAGATCATTCATTTAGTCACTATTGCCTCTTTTATTATATACAGGCTTTTATGCCAAATTCTGGGGATCAATGGATGAATATGTCCTAATCTCATCAATCAGAAAACTATCTAGTGCAGGAGATGGACAACTCATTGACTATTATAGTGTGATGCATACTAAATAAATGCTAATACAATATGACAAATGCTGAAGCTGAGGAATATACAGAAAGCTGTGTGTGAAAGACAAGAGGAAATATTAATTTTCCCTGGGAGTATGGGATAAGTTTGCAAGAGCAGGTAATACTTGCACTGTGTTTTGCAAAGTTTTCCTTGGGTGGAAAATAATAGAAAACTCTTCAAGGAGAGGATAAAAGGCACACTATGAAAAGCACACTGATGTTAGTGCACAGTGTTCCAAGAAGAGGCTCAAATACTGAAAACTTGCCCAAGGTCTCATGGCTAGTAAGTAGCCAAGCTGGCACTAAAACCCAGGCTTTGGCTGCCCAGTTAATGCACTCCCTTTGCAGTGTCGTATGCAAAGGATGTAGCATTAAATAAATGGGATCTACTATGATGTAACACTTTCTTAATATTCCCCTAACGATTTTTTCTCTTTGCTCTTTTGCAGTATTCCAAGATGTACATGTTATGATATTTGTTGGGTTTGGCTTCCTCATGACCTTCTTGAAGAAATATGGTTTCAGTAGTGTGGGTATCAACCTGTTCGTTGCTGCTCTGGGTCTTCAATGGGGCACTCTTATATGGGGAATCCTGCACTACCATGGACAGAAAATTCCTATTGGAATCATAAGGTGAGCATCCCTTAGTTTTCATTCATTGTACTTTCAGAGCAGTTGTTTCTCTGTTTAGTCTCTTGTCAGTCAGCCTCAGAACTAGCTGCCAAATTGTCTCCCTTAGGCAATAGCAGATTGTCGTGCTCCAAGAATGCAAATCAAAGCCTTGCTCTACTGAGCTGGATAATGGATGCATGTCTATGTCCTCTCTGGTCTGACTTTAAGGGTATAAGAAATTCCCTTGCATAAAATTATTATTTTTTCCATCTCAGCTACAGGAAGCAAAAATTTACCATTAGGTATTTTTCTAAGATTACTTTTGAAATGTAAACACTTTAGAAAAGAATTCATTTATCAGATCAACAAAAATAAAATAAAACCAAAAATGAGATAAAGACCAGGTAGGTTAAGATAAAGTAAATGTTAGAGAACTAAAGAATGTATAATGAATGGAAGAGAGGAAGGGTTAGAAAGTGGGAGAGGGCAAAAGTCATCTTGGAAAAAGTGCCTGATGGGGACTGATGGGGAGAAGAGCCTTACACTCTGGATAAGGTGATGCTAGAGTTCATTACAACTCACAGTTTTATTTTGGGTGTGCATTATTCTTTAATGTATTCTTTCTTTTCCCCTCAGCATGATAAATGCAGACTTCAGCACAGCCACAGTCCTGATTTCTTTTGGAGCTGTCCTGGGAAAAATAAGTCCAATCCAAATGCTGATCATGACAATCATAGAAATTACTGTCTTTGTTGGCAATGAATATCTGGTTGTTGAGAAGTTTATGGTAAGAGTTAGACCATTTATACTTACCTAGCTTTGGACATCAATTGTGGTCACAATAATGGATGCCCACTCTATGCAGGGACAAACCTTGGCGACAGCGATACCATGGCAAGTAGTAATAATAGCCCTCATTATTTGAATGCCTACTGTAAATCAGGAGCTTTATAAGCATTGTCTCATTTCATCATCATAACACTGTAAGGTAGGTATTATTGTTGTTATTATTTATACACACAAAAAATTGATCACAGATACTGAATGACTTGCTTGAATCTGGATTCAACTTTAGATTTTTCTAACTCCCAAACTCTTTTTTATTACATTATGTTATCTATCAATGATCAATTCCTATTTCTATTTCAATTACTAGGTGAATAGCCTTTTCTAAGGCTTTTGTTAATGCCTGGGTCAAATTTCTTCTCCAGTCTCATTCAGTTCCTCAAGGATTATGAATAGAACATATCTGGCTACTTTTCAATATTTTGTGTATGCTTCTATTGAATATTTAATCCAACAGCAGTTATTTTTGACAACTTTCTAGGTGTCATATGTTGGTAATTCAGTGACAAACAAAGTAGTTAAGATTCCTATTATTATAGAGTGTACAGTCTAGTGAGGGAGACAAACATCAAACAAATAATCATAAATTCACCCACCCACCCATAGGCACACAAGCATGCACGTACACACACACACACATACACACATACATAAATGTTATTATAAACTATAAAATACTATGAAAAATAAGTAGAAGGGCCTATGAGAGAATGTAACTGGAAAACCTAATTTAGATTTGGTGAACAAGGAAGGGCTCTCTGAGGAAATAACAGATAAGCTGGACCTGAAAGGTACATAGAAGTTTATTAAGTATGAAATCTTAAATAAATTAATAAAGTCATATTATTTTCCTATCAATGCCTCAGGTTTGGCACTCTGCCCTTTCCCTCAAAAGACAGGAAATGTAGAAAACTGGGTCAAAGCCATACAATGTACTAAAGAAGGACTTAAAATATATTTCTTCAAATAAATCTTGGACCTCAGACCTGTTTTCATATCACCATAAACATAGTGAAAAAATATGAGAAAGACCTGGGCTTTTTGAGGCTTCAAGTTTTTGCATTGCAATTAAGTGACTTTTATCTGCGATGTCAAGTAAATGCAAAAATCATCTTTATTTTACATTATGTGCAATGCATAATATTTCACTGAAAATCTCCCTAACCTGGATACATAACCTAAAATGTATTGAATGCCCACTAAGGACCTAGCACTTTACAACATGGTCTCACTTATGCTGGCTGGGTAATATTTTTCCATTTTACAGAACTTGAAATTCAGAGAAGTATAGTAATTTGTTTAAAGTCACATCACAAGAAAGTACCTAGGATTAAAAATCAGTTCTATGTGGCTCCAAAGCCTGTATTTCTTCTACTCCACTATCTTGTTTTATCCCCCTTTCTCTGACATATTTTGTCTTTCTCTTGATCTATTGCTTAACCAATAAAACATTCCTTTCATTAACTTTACTCCTGCAGTGAGACTCATTTTCACTTCTATTTATGTGAATGTTTTGCCCCATCAGGCCTCTGATATAGGAGCATCAATGACGATCCATGCCTTTGGGGCCTACTTTGGCTTGGCTGTAGCAGGCATCTTATATCGACCAGGCCTGAGAAGGGGACATGACAATGAGGAGTCTGAGTACCACTCAGATTTGTTTGCAATGATTGGTGAGTAGGGGTAAACTTGCCAGATTCTTGTCTATTTGGTCAGGCACAATGGAAAGTTAACTCCAACACAGATGCGAAGATGTTCAGAAGGGAACATCCTCTGAATCCAACTTTTGTTTATGCTGACTTTTCCCCTAACTCTTGAATAACCAAGCCCAAGAGTAGAAACATTGTCAGTGCCCAAGGCAAACTATCTCCCCCGGACTGTCATCCATATGCAGAACTAATATTCCTCTTTTGTGGTTTACTCCAGGAACTCTTTTCCTATGGATATTTTGGCCCAGTTTTAATTCAGCCGTTGCGGATGCTGGAGACAAACAGTACAGGGCCATTGTAAACACATACTTCTCTCTCGCTGCCTGCGTGCTCACAGCCTATGCATTCTCCAGTCTCGTTGAGCACCGAGGCAAGCTCAGCATGGTAAGTATCATATTAACCTCTGTGAGGAGGGGAAATTTTTCCCTATTTCCCCTCTTAGTTCTTCTGGCTGGCCTAAGAATTAAATTGACATGAGACAGATCAACAAGAGAAAAATAATTAAATTTAATTATGTATGTATATATGGGTATCCATAAGAATATGGGATCTAAGGAAAAATCAGACAATTGAGGCTTGTGTGCCATCTTGAGCTAAAAAGAAAGGGGAGTGATGGTTTAGACATCGAATGAGAGGAAAACAATTCATGTGGAGATGGAGAAGCATATGTTTGGCAAATAAATGTTTGTTGGACCACATTTAACAGTGGAACACAGAAAGAACTTTGATCAAAAGGGCCTTGCTGGGTTCCTTCCTGTCTGTCACACCTAGTTCATATTAAAATATAATTATCTATGGTCATAGCTCCTTTCCTGGAGTAAGTCCTCTGTCTAAATTCTTTTAGGTATAGAGGAAAAGTCAAAGGTTCTTCCTGAGTTTTTTGTTTCTTAAAATTAACCAACACAAAATAATCAATATCCCCGAAATGGAAGCTTCACTAATTGACACTAATGGTTTCTCAGATGAGTAGGTCATTTCTTCATCACTGCTAAGCTGTCAAAAACCACAACACTGCAGACCTTGAAGAATATTTTGAAGATAACATTATTCATTCATTTCTTCATCAAATTCATACTCTGGCAAATTAAAAAATGTTATCAAGGAATTTATAGTAGGGAATATAGTCTAAAAATCAAAGATTTGAGGCATATTTCTTTAATGATAGAGCTAACCATCCCCACATCCTTAGAACATGTTCCTGAGAAACAGGACTTGCCAAAAGTAGAAAAAGAGAGTGGAAGATGCAAGTGGATTCTATTTTCCTAATTGCAAATATTCCTCTCAAAGAAATAACAGCTAAATGAGATGTGAGATCCCGAATAAAATTCTGAAAAAGAAAAAAAGACATTAGTGAGAATACTAGTAAAATTCAATTCAGGTCTTTAATATTATTATATTAGTGCTAATTTCCCGGTTCTATGATTATGTAAGATATTTACACTGGGGGAAACTAGATGAGGGATATATGGAAACTCTCTGCAGTATTTTCTCAACTTTCACATTGGCTAAAATTATTTCAAAATATAAGATTTTTTTAAAGCCCCCAAGTTGCTCTTTTGTGTTTCTTGCCTCTGAGGTAGAGAAATGGCAGTGAAGGAATAATCCTATGAACAGCCTCTCTTTTTTTCTAACCTGGTGGAAGAAAAGGATATTGTCATTTTTTTCAAGCATAGCTAAAGGACATGTTATTTCAATTTTCTACTAATGGTTTCATAAGAGAAAGTTGAAAAAAAATTAACATGTACACTCAGTGGTTCTCGTGTAAAAGTACTGAGAACCTTTTCTTTCAGGCAGAATAGCTGAAATATTATTTTTCTGTGGAATTCTTGTAAAGAGAAATTAGTGACTCTTTCCTCTATCCTCAAATGTTCTCAGTACAGTGACATTTGTGAAAGCTCTTGTCTTTCATGTGTGATGTGTATACTTAGATATCTCCACATTCTCTCTTTCAGTATTGGAATATCAATATTGCATCAGCAGACAAAACACTGCTAGAATAATTGCTCTATACACTCCCGCCCTTCTACTACAACTTCTTTTGGTTTCCCCGCATCCCTCCCCACACTGGTCTCACTAACCTGATCACTCATACACTACCAAGAAATCCTGGCAAGAAAGATATCAAATCTCAACTGCTTAGAAGAAAGGCCTTCTATAATTACAAAGAATCCTGTTTTTCAAAATAATAGTCCTTGCAACTGAAGAATGTGTCATGGGGTCCATCGAACCCTAGATTCCTTCCATCCTTCTGAACTTTGCCTCATTCGGTTCACTTCATTCATGTTTCTGTATTTCACACAGGTTCATATTCAGAATGCAACCCTTGCTGGAGGGGTTTCTGTGGGCACTTGTGCAGACATGGACATTAGCCTGTGCGTTTCTATGATCATTGGGAGCACTGCAGGAATGGTCTCTGTGCTTGGATTTAAGTTTCTGACTGTAAGTACGACAGATGCTCTAAGTCAAACTTTGTATCTGCACCATCATCTCACATCCCACCAGCATAGAAAAGCTATGAAAACCCTTTTTATAAGCACTTCTCCTTATTTGGGGGCATCGTTTGCCTTCTTGTCAAAGATACGACTTGCATTTGTGTCCAGTGATTTCTGCTCTTTCCTGACTTCTTTTGAGTAGCAGGAAAGAATTCAATATCAGTTATTTATAACTTAGTATGAATTGAATGTTAAATACTTGTGCAACTTTCCTCAAGGCAGTTCCATTAAAGTTTTTGTTGTTGGTGTTTGTTTTGTATAATTAAGGACCTTATGCCCTTTTAAGGGCATTTAAGATAAGGCCAGTAGGTAAGAAGGCATAAGACTTGAGATCACTCACCTTCAAATCTAACTACTAAAGACTGAAATGAGGAGTTTCGCCATCCATGTATTCAGTTTCTTCGATTGAAGTGGGTTTTAGATACAGATGGAGAAGTGGACTGTAAGTAGAATTTTTCCTGCATGATCTTTTACTTTAGTTATAGAGTTCTGTATATCTAACAAAATAATAACCCTTTGTTTTACAATTTTAGCCACTTTTTGCTACTAAACTGAGGATCCAAGATACATGCGGGGTTCATAACTTGCATGGTTTGCCTGGTGTGATAGGAGGCCTTGCGGGCATTGCGGCAGTAGCCATGGGAGTGTCTGACAAGTGAGTGAAAGAACAGGCTTTTCTCGGCCCCTCCCCCACCACGTCTGATGATGTTTTCTCTCACTCTGTGAAATCCGGTGATGAGGGAGCTGCTTCTTTAGCAGTCCAGACCACAGTTCCTAAGTATTGTCCTTATCGTAGCCAAAAATACACATAACTGAGAGAATAAAATGGATTGGAAGATGTGTCTTTACTAACGTTAATATTTGCGGAGGATTTTTGTAAATTAACAGTGTTAATTTAATTACTCTACCATAGGCAACTGTCTCCTAGCAGATAAGTCCATTTGATAATCAGAGTCAGATTACAATCGTTTTACTCTTTTACTTGACCCCACAAAATGGGACATATGAACATATGTGATGAACTGAGCCGTCCTTTCAGTCCAATCCATACAAAGGAGAATGAGTTAGCATAAGGCAGAAAGCCATTGGATCTGGAGTATCAGGAAAATTGGCAGATGGCTCCGACTTTACTACTAACTAGTTATGCAACCTTTGACAAATCACTCAACTTCTCTGGTTCTGCTTCCTCTTCTGTAAAAGAAGAGTTGTACTATTTATTCTCTAAAATCCCTAGCAGACCTAGACTCTTCCCAAAGTGGGCATAGTGTTTATTTAAATGGCCAGAGGAAGAACAGCTCTCATCAAATCCTGGAGAATAAAAGTAATGTCATAAACCATCAGGTTTGTCACTTTTAAGCAAGGCGATTGAAACAATTTTTTATGAGTACCATCTGTACAAAACAGCTACAAAGATCATAGAGTACAAATCAATCAGAAAGTAAATCAGAAGGAAGAAAATATCAGTTTTTAAAGCCAATTGCAAGCATGAAGAGAAGGTGAATGTGTATTTGAAAATGTCCCAAGATGACCACTGGCTAGAGTGATATAATTTGAAAAGAAAAATCTTCTCTAAGATTTTAGCAGATTAAAATTTAACCCTGTTGAGACCAGTAACGATAAATATTTGAAAAACTTACTTAATCGTATTTTCTACTGAATAGAAAGTTTGCTTCTTCCTTTAGGTGTATAGCTGACCCATTTTTCTATATGTTTCTTTTTTACCCCTTTTGCAAATTTGGAAGACAATCCTAGAAATAGTCACATTTTCTTTCAGTTTTTTCCAGGATCTAACAGAATTTTAAGACCCAATACCAAAATGTTTTTAATGCAAATCAAGCATGATAAAATAAAAAAAAAAAGTATATATTAAATATGCAATCTCACTAGTAATCAAAGAAATGAAAATGAAAATGAGTTACTAATTTCTTAGTTATCAAATTGATAAATATTAAATAAATAATAATACCAAATGGTGACTAAAGAAAAGAAATGAGGAGATAAATTGACAATTTTCAATTTGGAAAAGCCCTTAAGTGGCTTATTAATTTTTACTAAAAATCTCATTTCTAGATACACATCATTTTAGGAAAATTATTGAACAAGTTCACAGTGTTCGTAAGAGGATGTATTCTCACAGCTTTATATTTTACAAAATATAAAGTGTTGGATATCCAACCTATAAAACTATAATTACAATATATTTACTAAGTGTAATACTCTGTAGCAATTAAAATTTTGATCCAGATCTACATTTACTAACATAAAAGGACATTAAGATTCAATGGAAATGTTAGTATTATAACGTGATTGAATTTTTATAAAAATATATGTTTTATATTTTACATTTTTATAGTGATAAGATTTGAGGGAAATTAAACTTTTTCTCTTTTTTTCCTTAATTTGTGGCTTCTAATATTTTTTATATTCATCATGTGTTACTTCTATAATTTTTTTATATAGTTGAAAAATTTAATCTCTTTAAGTAAAGAGAAAAAAATCTATTTTGTACATTCTTTTCTTTAAATGATGAGGATGAAACACTAACACGCTCTCATTTTCCAATTGTTTGCTTTTCTGCAGTCACTCATTCAATCTTTGAACAACTGTTTACTAATTGCCTGCTAAGGATGAGGCCCTATGCTAAGGAGATTCCTACATGCCTAGTGTGTTTGTCACTCATGTAACACCCTTATGCATTTCAATAGCTTATTATTACATTCTTCCATTCCCAAGATTATAAGGTATTTTTTACTCATTTCATTTTAAGGTAATTACTTCTAAGATGACATATAAAGATATACTTTAATATCTTCAATGAGTTATCTCTACAATATATGTTAAAATGAGCTTTTCTGACCTTACTGATTTTTAAATTTCATTACAATTATTTCTTTGGGGATTGGGTGAGGAGAGGTTGAAGCTCATGTTTGTTTTGTGCATTATTTGGTCCTCAGTGCCTAGAAGAGAAGCTGGTGAGAAGCAAGTACTCAATAAGTATTTGTTGAATGAATCAGGTCACAGATCAAAACCTGGTACCACATTTTTAGAAAATACTAAACCTTGTCTAAGGAAGATCTTTTTTTCATTTTGAAGAAAAGGGTGGTTCTAGTTTAAGTGCTTATAAGATTTTTTTTTACATCATTCAAGAGTTTCAAAGAAAATAAATATATGAAATAAAAGGAAAAGTGTAATAAATGTTTGGTTGTTTGTGTGTAATACTGCATTCTGGCCGGAAGGTGGCAGGCATCCACACCTTCAAGTGAGATTTGTTTGCTGGCTTCCTGCAAAAAAACAAGATCCTTTTATTTTGGCTTCCTAGGTCTACCTGGGCCATGCAAGCAGCAGCACTAGGTTCTTCTATCGGAACTGCAGTTGTTGGAGGGATATTCACAGGTCAGTATAAAAGTAAACACTTCCTTGTACCTCATGCTCTCAGCATAATTTAATAATCATATTGATTGATAAATTTAAAAATGTTCTGAACTTCTGACAGTAATCATGTAAGCTCTAGGAGATGATTTTATAACAGTAATTACTTTAGACTATTTAACTACTATGCAAGTAGGTTTTCCTATTTAGCATCATGACATGACTTATTTTCTCCCCACCTTCACAGGTTTAATTCTAAAGTTACCCATCTGGGGACAGCCACTTGACCAGAACTGCTATGATGATTCTGTTTATTGGGAGGTACTGTACAGTGTTCTAAATATGGATATAAATGACGACTCCACTAGTGAAAGTTTTGCTCACCTCAAGCCTAGATGTGTGTGTAGCACCTGTGTGATGAAATTGAGTGAGCTCAATTTATAGAGAGAAATTAAGACAATATGTCTAGACAGGTCAAATCACAAGTTACACTATTTTCTAAAGCAGATATTAGATGAAGAAAAGACTAATGCAAGTACCCTTTCGCTCCTCTGAGAGTTATAAAAAATGTACTCTTAAAAATAATAAGGATCCTGGGCAGTGGAGTGAAATTTTATACCATATGGAAAAGTAGGAAAAAACTGGTGAAACATGGAAGGTTGAAGAATCTCAGTGAGTACACAGGAGTTTCTGTGAATAACAAAACATCGGCTTTTCACCCTCCAGTTTCTACCTCTTTTCTTCATTGACATTTTTTTCTCCCAAATTATTCCCTTGCAAAGGTTAAGAGTGATAGATGCTTTGGTATGTTCAACAAGATTTTCAAGGAGAACGGGCTTGGGAAAAAGAGAATATAGTCAGTGTGGGTGGGGTAAATATTTTTGTTCTTTTATTTTTCCCCAACTCAAACAATTTTTATTCCCATTTCTTTCTAAGCTTAGATATTAATTACAGAAAATATCTTTTTTTCGATACTAATCTCTGACAGGCCCAGTGAAAGAAACTATAAAATGCCCTAACCTTGTTTTCTTTCAAGGTACCTTGGTGGAAAGAAGGTGACAATTGTTTTCATGAACATGGCAGCCAAAACCAGCTGGAACTTGAAGTCTAAATACCATTCCTCTGCCTCACCTTCCTTTCCCACTATCTAGAGTCAAATCTAAATAAACGAAAAGCATCCAGGAAGAATATGGACCAGAATGGAAGACCCTGAGCCCCAAATGTCCAGTGTAAAATATCCTAATATAATCTGGTGCTGTCTCTTGATATTCACTGATTGTTTAGTTGAAGAAATATGACTCATAAAACAGATGGTCAAATGGATCCTATTCAGCACTCCCAGACTACTCTTGCCAGTGTGAATACTTCCTGTATATTCATGTATTTCCCGCCCCCCCATGGAGGCAGATTTACAAAGAAGTGAATACTTTCTAATCATATCAGTTTCTTAAATGTAGGTATTATGTCTTCAGTCCCAAAGATTATGAAACTGAAGTCAGTGAAAGAATAATGTGTGTAAAAAGCTATATAAGAAATATGAAAAATGAATGTATATAAAGTAGTAATATGAGTGTGTTTGGTAGTGTTTTCTTGATTTAAAAAAATGGTCAAATTAGTAATGTTATGTCTTTGCTCAAATATTATTATGCTTAATTTCTTTTGTATGTTTACTATTTGCAACAGAGTTCAAACTCTACCTGACCAAAGTCTATTTTATATAAAATTTCAGTGGATTAATGTTATTATAAAATAAAGTCTTTGGTGGTTAGAATTCATTTTAGTAACAGGCACATATGCACATGAACACACACGCACCCCTCATACTTAGTCCATATCAATCCAAATAGATTGTTACTTACTATATATTTACTATAAAACATCAAGTTAATGTTTCATGCTATAGTAAAAGTATTAAACAACTGAGTTTTAGAAAAGGTAAATGACATTGTCATATAAAACTATTTCTACGGAAATCAAATACTTTTTTTCTCTCAGGAAGCTTTTTAGATTTTTCTTTTATTTTTCTGGAGTCCTGGAATCTTGCCAAGATGTGCCAAAGTATTAATTAGGAAATCACCCTTGCCATCGTTGACAGAATTCCAGTTCTTGAATGCTAGAACTTAAAAATTACAACAGTAAATTATTTAATATTTTATTCCTCAGGATAAATAGTATAATTTATTTATAGATCTTAAATATTTTACTAAATAGATGACTCCTTTCAGTTTCTCTTTCATATGGGCTTTTTGAAATATGCTCACTTGTAAAACCCACTGTACCCTCCCTTGATGAGCATCATAAAGAATCATCTTCACTCAGGATGTCCTGAGACCCCTCATTCTGTGCTCATCATAGGCAAAATTTAGAGGGTCTTGAGTACACTCAGATATTTTTTAAAAGCCTGTAATTTTGATGTGCTAAAGAACTGGGTTGTGATGATCATCAACCTCTGATTTGTGAACACTCTCTCCTGCCCTCCTGTAATACAGTTCTTATAAATAGTAAAGGCTTACTTTTTTAAAAAATTCTGAGTTAGTGGTCTTTATTCACAATAATATATGTCTTTTTTAAAATCTTTCTTGCTTGAAATTTACTGAAGCATTTTAATCTGAAGATTTGCATCTGCTTCTGCTCAGATAAACTTCCCTCTACTGTTTAATAACTTCTTCTTCTTTATCTCCTCATTTTTCTTCTTTGAGCACCCCTGTTATTCACATAGAAAGTTGACTGGATCTGTTTTCCGAATCTATTCTTTCCCCTCTTTATTTCATTTGTTTTCACAGAGGTTCTGTTTCTCCTATTTATCGATTTGTTTGTTTGTTGCAAATTATGGTCCATATTTATAGGTCCAGCAAAGTTGTGTTTTTTGTGTATGTGTGCATGCACACGTGTGTGTTATGCTTGAAACTCCTTAATTGTTTTTATGATTTTGTATATTGAGAATTAGGGTGTTCCTTTTGTTCAAATTCAAGGTCGAAATCTAGCCCAGCTTTGTCAACACTTAAATAACATTATTTAGACCCTGTCTGCCCCCCCCTCAAAAAAAAGTTTAAGATGTCAAATAATAATATTTATGTTAACTAGCTAATTTTTAAGATCTACTTAGATCAATTTCAGGAAATTTTTGTTATTCTTTGTTCTTATCTAAATCTGAAAGATTGGCCTATAATTATTAACTGCAATTTCAGACAGTTTTATGAAAGCTGAGATATTTTTATGCTTCCCCAGCCATCTTTTCTATTGTCTTTAACTGTTCATTATACAAGGTAAGAGAACTCTGCTGACCTAGGGGTAGACTTTGCCAATAGCTCTATTTTGTTAGAAACCATTTATTTTGTGTTCTCTTGATTCTCTTCACTTTGGATGCTGGGACGTCTTAGGTAGGTGGTGTCTATTTACTGGTGATGGCAGTGGAAGAATGTTAGGTTCCAGCTGCTGAGATATCTTGGGTGGCAACAATCTTGAGAATGAAGGCAATTTCTGATAAAATGGGTCAGAGATTTGCCCAGTGCCAAGATATAATTCCTGTAGATTGATACTTGAAGAAGCCTCTCTGTTCAGTCTTTTCAGCGGCATAGATTGGTATTCTTCTAGAATCAGGGCCAGGAGGGTCTCACTGCATCTTCTCAGTCCTCCCAAAGTTCCTGGGGGAAAAGGGAAACCTGCTGTCATCTGAGAAACCCTCAATCAGGAAAATACATCACCATTTCCCGGGAATTCACAAATCTCCGCAAACCAGTATTACCCAGATCCCTTGGGTCTCTATCAAGTGCCTCTCTATCAAGTTGCCCCTTGGGTCTCTATCAAGTGCCTCCAAACTCTCCTCCAAGACAGAGGATGGAAGTTCTCTATCAGCTGTTTTTCCTCCCATAAGCAGAAAGCCTCACATCCCCCAGGCCCAGCCACTGCTTAGCTCAGGACAGGTCCCATAGTTTGATTAGAGTTGTAGGATGAGGTTGGGAAGGATACATTCAAGCTCCCATCACCCCCATTTAAACAAGGCATAAAGATGTCATTCCACGTACTTTACAACTTGATAATGTTACGTTTTCCTTTTTAAGATGAAAAAGTAAATTTCTTAAGAGCTAATACTTCTCGTTTTTTTCTTTATAACCCTCACATCTTGAACAGAGTATGTGCTTAAGGGATGTTTGTTCAGTGAATGAGTGGATATAAATTGAATGAACAAAGAAAATTAGCTTCGAAGAAGGAAAAGCATTTTTTTGATTTATTCAATTACTTGTCTATTCAGTAATTTATTATGTACATGCTAAGTACTGACTCTGTAAATAGAGTCTTACAAAATAAAATTCTTGACCTCAAATATATGTATATATGTTTACAGCTCAGCCAAAAGTATAATTAGTGGATCAATGATAGACTAAAGTATGAAATGTACTAGAATGTATCATACACAGAATGTTGTAGATAAGAGGAGAGGAAAATCTAAATATAATTCAGCCACTGAAGGAAAACTTGCCAGAAAAAAAGAAATATGTAAGAAAAGCATACAGCTAGGCAGAGACTGAGTTAAGTCTCAACTCTACCAAAAATAAAGCCAACACTCTTTTCCCTGGAGACCACATTGCTCATGAAATGAAAGATCGGAAGTCTGTTCAATTAATACTTTCTTCTTTTTGAAGACAAAAGTTGCTTGTGTGTGTGTGTGTGTGTGTGTGTGTGTGTGTGTTTATGTGAATGTGGGTTGGTGGGATAGGTCATTTGAGAAGAGTAGCAAGGGGGGGAAAGTTGGTTAACAAAACCATGAACTGTCAGATCTCTTCGCTCTGAACTTTATTTCCTAAAATCACTGACCTCTATCCATGTCCACCCCTAGACCTAGGTGCTGTCTTTATTAGGGGTGCAAAATCCAGTCTTTTCCAACTATCGACCTTAGCTTTTATCCTGGCTTTATTTTGAAATCTCATTGAAAATCTCTCAGTAGAGTCGTTATCCCAGATTTATCCAACCTAAATAAAAGCAGCTATGGTCGTCTCCAAGCAATGCATCCTGGCCTTGTTAACCAGACACAGACACTTCCTAGAATTAATTTGACAATAAGTATAGATCCTGAAGGTCCCCTTTGAATAAAGTCCTCTTTTCTTTTGGTGCCCATTAGTGTGCCAGGTCTTGAATTTAATTCCCACTTCGATTTCTACTGTTGAAGTGTCTTTAGAAAAAATACTTTATCTCTTTGAGTTTCTTTAGTCATCTATAAAAAGAGATAATACCTACTCTGAAGAGTTATTTTGAGGATAAAGGGCAACATTTTAGACATTTGGGGTTACTTAAAAAAAGTTAGAATTAAATTCTCTTAATATTCCTTTAAAATTTTAAGGTATTTACATTAACTAGAGACTTTTCCATAAATTATCCAGTTTAATCCTTACAATGGACCTTTGAGTTAGACATTATCACTGAAGAAGCTGAGATTCTGATTAAAGAATTTATATTAATTCAAAGAGTTCTTAAATGGCAGAAGTGGGATTCAAACTTAGATCTGACCTCAAATTTTGTTTTTTAACAACCAACCCCAAATACTTTTTCTATAAATTAAGCCATAGAAGCAAAGAAAAATCAATCTCTATTGGTAGAATTTCAGATATTAGTGAAAAGATAAATAGAGAGATATTAGCATTATGTAACCAGCAGCCTGCTTTAGGCTTGATGGACTTTCTTCAGACCTAGAAAAAAAAGATGAGCATTCTGTCACTATTGACTGAGTGATGAGTATTGTGGGAATATTTTGACTCTTAAAGTATAGAATTCATGTGTGATGAATTTCCCCTAAGATCCAAAGCTCATTTATATCAATAAAAAATATCAAAATATCAAAATATCAGTCCTTCACATTTTTGTCCATTTACTGATCTCCATATGTGAATCAGATAAAATGACGAATGAAGTAAAAGTTATTTTCCTGGTCACAGAGGAATATCTGTAATTAACTTGAAAATAATCCATTTGAAAAATACCTTTTTTTATACAAGGTATGGTTTCAATGAATAGACAAATAACAAATAAAAAAACAGACAAATAATAAACAAAAAACAAATAAATCTGAAAGAGTACATTACCTGTTCTTAGGGTCAAGTTTTCATATTTCTGGTTTAAAGCAATGTACTAGGAAAAGGGCTGTATTTTGCTTAATATATGAGAGCTCATTAGCACAATGTCCAGCACACATGCAATAAGTGCTAAAGCCGAGTCTCGGTTCCCCTTTTGTTTCTACCTTTCAGTAATTAAAGCTCTAATCTACTCCAGAAAGTTTGTTTGGATATACAGGTCAACTGGTTTAAAAAAAAAAAAAAAAATTCTAAACTAGCTAGTTGATATTTTTTTCATCAACAAATGTGTTTTTTTTTTTCCCCTGTGTATTTTATTCTGTTATACCCCTGAAATTAAACCTATTAAATCAAGGCCAAATGTCCTTAGAAAATATTTAGTTTGCCTAATACCTCTTTAAAATAACTAGAACTTCTGTGAGGTTTTGTGTGTGTGTGTGTGTGTGTGTGTGTGTGTGTGTGTGTGTGTGTGTTTAAAATAATTTTATTTAAAAACAATCTCAAGCTTTTAGAAAAAGAAATATACTACAAAGAACTTTTTCCTGAACTATTTTAAGTTTCAGACCTCATTATTCCTGAATACTTTGGTGTATATTTCCTATGAAAAAAATATTTTCTCAATCAGAATACAACCATCAAAATCAGGAAATTAACAGTTAAATTATGACCATTGTCTGCTCGGGCTTCAATTAAAAAATATCATAGACTGGTTGGCTTAAACTACAGAAATTTATTTCTCACAATTCTGGAAAGTTCAAGTTCAAGGGGCTGATTTGTTTCCAGGTGAGTGCTTTCTTCCTGGCTTACAGATGATTGCCATCTCTCTGTGTCCTTACATGGCCTTTCCTTGGTGTGTGTGCATAGAGAGAGAGCATGCTCTTCCTCTTTTTATAAGGACACCAGTCCTATGAGATTAGGCCCCTACCCTATGACCTCATTTAACCTTAATTACCTCCTACACATTCTGTCTCCAAATATGGTCACATTGGAAATTAGGGCTTCATCATATGAATTGAGGTATGGTGGAAGGGTGGTAAC